TTTGAAAATTGGCTTTTTTTTAAGGAGAATTTACTTTTGCCATTATTTTCTAACTAATACGAAATATAGCCATACAAAATTTTGGTAATAATTTTTTTAATTTTTAGTGAAATAAAAAACATGTACTTGTAGCTAAAATATGTTCCTCTGGAGCCACTTTTTTAAAATTTAATCAAATTTTGATGGCAATAAATCGCAAAATTTTGTTTTTATAAAGATTTCAAAAATTGAGAAAATAATTAAATCAAATTTCGGAATAGTGGCTTCAGAAAAACGGACATTTCACTTTTACCTGAAGGTAAAAATTTTTCATTCACTAAAAAGTAAAATTAAACTATAGAAATATTTATGGCTCTATTTCGTATTGTTTAGAAAAAGATAATTGCTTGAGTAAATTTTCCTCTTAATTATAATTCAAATTAACAAAATGTCAATATATGCATTCAAAATCAAAAATTGAATATATATGCAACAAATTATTTATTGTTTCGGCCTTTACTTGATGAAAATCCATTTAATCTTGAAAGAGTAAAACCAAATTTGGTAGATTTTCACACTTGTATTTTAAAAATATAATTTTTTTTTTAAAACACTAACATGACATATGTTTCGAAGTAAAGTAAATAAGGGTCCTTAGGTAATTATAATATCAATCAGATAACAATAAGATAGCACATTACCGGGATTATCTCACAGAAAACTAGGAAAGATTTAATAAGGGTGAATTATTAATATCTAATTGATCATTTAGTAAGTTATCTGAATTTTTAAATCTATTTATTTCAAGTGTTTCTAAATGGTTTAATTTAAGGCTCTTATTTTCTATATGTAAAATTTCAAAGTTGTCTGTAAAAGAATGATTTTCAGCTAAAATATGATTTGAGTAAGTAGAATTATTTTTGTTTTTTGTATAGCTATTATAATGTTCGGAATAGCGTTTTTTGAAAGTACGGCCTGTTTGACCAATATTAAATTTTGGACAATTACCACAATTTAATTTATATACCCCCGATTTATTATTAGGATTAATTTTACCCTTATTGTTTTTAATATACTTCCCAAGCGTATTATTGGTTTTAAAAGGTACGTTAATATTTTGGTTTTTTAAATATGATGATACCTTTTCACTAGGAGCTCCTATATATGTAAGACTCTTATATCTGTAATTTTGATCTTTAATTATGGGATAAACTTGTTGAATAGCCTGTTAAAAAAGTTTTTTCTCTAAAACGTTGTCTACTAACTTTGAATTAAAATTATTATTTACTGCGATTTGTTTAATGATATTTAATTCTTTTGTGAAGTTCTCTTTGGTAAGGGGAATATTAACTAATCTATGGATCATACTGTTGTATGCTGCCAGCTTTTGTTTGTATGGATGAGATGAACTATTATTTATTGTAATATCAGTATGTGATGGCTTATGAAATATCCCAAAACTATGGCCTTTATTATTTTTAATAATATTTAAGTCTAAAAAATTAATTGAATTATCCTTCTCTGTTTCCATAGTAAATTTAATATTAGGGTGTATAGTATTGATAAAAACTAATAAAGAATTTAACTGTCTACTAGTACCAGTAAAAGCAGTCAATATATCGTCAACATATCTATGCCAATACAGACAATGTTTACTTAAATTATAGCTATGAATTTTATTTTCTATATTATCCATAAATATTTCTGCAAGCAACGGGCTTAATGGGTTCCCCATAATAAGACCTTCATTTGCTGAGTAGATGTTATTTTGAAATTGAAAATAATTTTGTTTTAGGCAAATGTTTAACAAATTTAGGATTTCTTTTTTGATTATAATATTGACTTGATTACGATCTAATAAGTTTTCTACTAGCTTAACTGTTTCTTTAGGAGGTATACTAGGAAATAAGTTTGTTACATCGAACGATACTAATTTTGTGTTACTAGGTAATTTAAGGTTATTTAATTTTTCTGTTAATTCATAAGAATTTTTTATACTATACTTTGAATTGAATTTGCAGTTTTCTTGTATAAGTTTCATTAATGTATGTGAAAGTTTAACTGATGTAGCCGTGACAAATGACACAACTGGTCTAATAAGATAGTTCTCTTTGTGTAATTTTATTAAAGAATAAAGTTGTGGTGGTTGAGGGTTCATTTGTATTAGTTTGAATTTTTCTCTAGAATCAAAAATTGCTGTTGAATCCTGAATATTACGTTTTAGTTCTTTTTGATATTTATCTGTTGGATCAAATTTGAGTATGCTATAATTATTGCTTGCTTGTAAAAATGAAAGAGTTTTGTCAATATAATCTATATTATTAATAGCAATTACTGTATTTCCCTTATCAGCACGAGTGAAAATGATATCATCCTGTTTTGTTTTATCCTTTATAGTTTTAATTAACTTACTGTCTGATTTGAATTGTTATTACGTAAAAAATGTGTTTTAATTATATTTGCAGTATGATATTTGTGAGACAAAGTATTATATGAATCTTTTAAAGCAATTTCTGTTTCTATTCCCAAAATTTCTAAGTTCGAAGTATTTATCTTAGGTGAGATGTTGTGTTTAAACCCTTTTTCTATTAGAGATTGTTCTGGATCAGAGAAATTTGTGGTAGTTAAGTTAACAAATCTTTTAAAAAATGTATGATCCGATATTTTATTTTTGTTCTGTTCTGATTTTTGTTTAGGTATTATGGAAAAGAAGCAGGATTAAAGAAGTGGTTGTCAGAAGATAAGAAAAAAGAATATTCCAAAAGAGATTGTTTCAACATATACACTAAGGTAATACATGCTGAATTATCTCACAGATTACATTTTATAGAATTTGAAATTGTAGATAAAAACATTAGGGAGCAGATTAGTCAAATTATTCATAAAAAAATTATTAGACAACAGGAAAAATTAAAATCACTTATTTTTAAAAAATCCATAATACCTAAACAAAAATCAGGACAGAACACAAATAAAATATCGGATCATACATTTTTTAAAAGAACTAAAACGTAATATTCAGGATTCAACAGCAATTTTTAATTCTAGAGAAAAATTCAAACTAATACAAATGAACCCTCAACCACCACAACTTTATTCAAACAAAAGCTGGCAGCATACAACAGTATGATCCATAGATTAGTTAATATTCCCCTTACCAAAGAGAACTTCACAAAAGAATTAAATATCATTAAACAAATCGCAGTAAATAATAATTTTAATTCAAAGTTAGTAGACAACATTTTAAAGAAAAAACTTTTTAAACAGGCTATTCAACAAGTTTATCCCATAATTAAAGATCAAAATTGCAGATATAAGAGTCTTACATATATAGGAGCTCCTAGTGAAAAGGTATCATCATATTTAAAAAACCAAAATATTAACGTAGCTTTTAAAACCAATAATACGCTTGAGAAGTATATTAAAAACAATAAGGGTAAAATTAATCCTAATAATAAATCGGTGGTATATAAATTAAATTGTGGTAGTTGTCCAAAATTGTATATTGGTCAAACAGGCCGTACTTTCAAAAAACGCTATTCCGAACATTATAATAGCTATACAAAAAACAAAAATAATTCTACTTACTCAAATCATATTTTAGCTGAAAATCATTCTTTTACAGACAACTTTGAAATTTTACATATAGATAATAAGAGCCTTAAATTAAACCATTGAGAAACACTTGAAATAAATAGATTTAAAAATTCAGATAACTTACTAAATGATCAATTAGATATTAATAATTATTCACCCTTATTAAATCTCTTTCCTAGTTTTCTCTGAGATAATCCCGGTATCTTATTGTTATCTGATTGATATTATAATTACCTAAGTACCCTTATTTACTTTTAATAGTTAATTTATTTTGTAATGTTATTGATGTTTTTCTTAAGTACTTTGTTTTGTTAAATTATTTCGTATATATATTGGATACCGAATTGTAAATTAGTCACATTTGAAAAAGAAGTTGTACTTCGAAACATATGTCATGTTAGTGTTTTTAATTTTTTTTTTATATTTTTAAAATAAAAGTGTGAAAATCTACCAAATTTGGTTTTGCTCTTTCAAGATATATGCAACATATGCAAAATATGGTGTTTTGCATATATTCCTAGCTCTAATTATAATTATTTTTCGGTTTTTTTTGTTTTTTATCGACACATTTTAATAAATTATCGTTGTACACAGCGTAAAGAATAAAAGCTTATTCATCGTGGGATGCCAGGACCTTACTCAAAAATTTTAAATCATGAAAGAAATGGAATTCGACAAAAAGACTTCTAAGTATAGGATGGTTTCTCCATTGGTTCATTTGTGCAGTGAACATCCAGTTAAATTTCATAAAAACACATTATTTTAAAATTACATAAATAACAAAACAATACAAAAGAAAATAATTCCAAACTTTCTAAGCTGAACGTCGGCGGTGTTTTTGTGAATTATATATAGTACTGATACTAATAATAGTCGAGACAATGAAGCACTAAAAAGGCGAAAGTTCCTGGATTTTTCCGTGCAAGTCGGATCGGAATGCGGTTTTTTGCATTCGCTTGCAAAAATTATTTGTATCATTCCCCCGTAATTTCCGGGTCATACAAACCGAAAATTGCATTGCTGCAGCCAAAAATGCATTCAAAAAATGCATTATTTGAGAGGCCTCTTGGATGATTTCAAAACTTGTTAAATAAGTGTCAGAACTAGCCCAGATCGGGTTCTCGGGGGTTTTCGAGGTCCTTGATCACGATTATGATGTCTAAATTGACCCACAGCCGACCTGGAGCTCAGGAACGTTGACGAACGTCATCTTCGTGGGACTCTCCCAAAATTCACGCGGGGAAGGAGGGCAATTAGGCGATCGGGGTTTTTTTGGGTCGCTGAATCCAAATATGGCATCGGACACCTGGTGTGCCCAAACCTCGACCTGGACGTCATCTCCGAAAATTTTTGGGGAAGAAATGACAGACTACCTAAAGTGGGAGTTGTCTCCATTCCCTCAGGGATACTTCAATAGTTTTGGAATGCTGAAGAATACAAAGTCCGATTTGTATTCATTGTTCGTGAAAACTCCCACGAATATTTATGATCCTGAGAAGGCGTTTTTTGTTCTGCATGGAGGATTACTGATCCACAAAGTCAAGTGGACTAACGGACAAAAATTCTCGGCGATGATGGACAATTACAAAAACTATATTTTGAAACATTTTGGCAAACGCGTGATAGTTATTTTTGACGGTTACCAAACCGTCAGTACTAAAGGTATGAAAGAAACCGTCGCGCTAGGGGAAGTTCAGCGGACGTCTGTTTTAGCGAGAATATGGCGTTACAAATACATTAGGATAAATTCTTCCAAAATAAGAACAATAAAAGTAAGATTATTGCCAAACTGTCGACAATCGGGATATTTTCAGACCAATCTGCAGCGGATGCTGATCCTACGATTGTAACGACAGCTCTAAAAGAATCTGAGGACCTGACCAAAAAGGCAGTCATAGGGCAAAGACACACGACGCTCATTTAAGACGAGCGGCGGCCGCTCGTCGGCCGAACGTACACAGTGGCACTTTTACAATTCATACTTACGCACACACGAAACAAAAAATCAATTTGAGTTCAAGCGGCACGCTTCGGCAAGGTTTCGGCACATCGTTTGGATGATGTGCCGCTCGTCGACTTTCGTCGAAGCTTTCCCTGTCGTCTATTGGAATTACATGTAAACGCACAGACGATGGCTGTTTCTATAAGCTAAGAAGCCATTGCGCGATTGACAAACTTGTTTAAAATGGCTGAGACTGTTGATATGGAAAAAATTAATAAATGAAATACAAAAAAGAACCGCCATATGGAATATGAAAACAGTTGAATATTCTAATAAAACCAAAAAAAGAAATGCGTGGGAAGAAATAATAAATATATTTTCCAATGAAAGTGCTACAAACGAAGAAAAAAGATACTTGGTAAGTTTGTTATAAATATTAAAAAAAAAGTAAATATATCAAATGTCGTTGTTGTCGTGACGAAACTTCTTAAAAAAAATTCCAAAAGCATTAAAAACGTTGTAAGATTTACCATTTACCAAGTATTCCTTAAAATCACTTAAATGGATTCGCTAAATCGTAGATAAGAAATTTTACAGAGTGGCATAAAAATCTAAATTTCAAAAAAATTGTTAGGTACATAGAAGGTGTCGTTACAACAACGATATTTCACAAAAAAAATTTACAAACCATAACCTCTCAGTTAACTTGACAGAAAAAGTTGTAATAGGTAAAAAAAGAAAAATACTACTAATCGAAGCAAAGTTGATCGAAGCTTTGGATGCCAACGCATAGCGCCGCGAAACAAAAGAAAATGAAAATGACGATGATCGGTTATTTTTACTGTCACTACTACCACAGTTAAAACAACTTTCACCACATTTAAAATTAAGTGCCCGATTAAGTATTTTACAAGCTCTTAATAAATTCGTATTGGAAATCCGTTATAATCAGCATCAACCACCTCCATTGCACTATCGAGCTCCGAGCACCGAGCATCGAGCACCTCCGGATCCACTTCATCAGCAACCACTGGTATACTTGCAACATTCTCAGCATCAGACCTATCTTCAAGCAACGGAGAAAACACCAGAACATCAAAAGATGCAATCGAACACAGCCCCAATGGAAATCTTACCCAATGAAACAACCTCGCCACTTCAGTCTCCTTCAGAATTTATATATTCTTACTATAGTAACTATTCAACAGATAATTCTAATGTTTTTTGAGTTCATATTCTTAGTTTATGTAAGTTCATTTCATATGTGTTATGTTGGTTTAATCTTAAGTAGAAAGTAGTTACTTCTTTTTATACGTTGAAATAAAATACTTACCTTAGGGTTACTACCAGTTTTTCCTCCGGTGAAAAGCTTTCCCTCATTACTGTGTTTTGTTTGGTTAAGTCACTTTCTATGTACCTTAGTAATTCATTAAACGAATTTTTGGACATTCTGACGAAATTAAAGAATTTTTCCTCATCATCTTGTAACGTAGTCTTAAATAAGTTATAATACATACTTTTATTATGGCGTTCTTTAACTATTGGATGAACCCACATACGTTGATTTTTCTTTTTCTTTAATCGTAAATATAGTAAACCAATTGAAATTAAAAAACCTCTTCCGAATCACTATCCATTGAAAAAATTACAACCGACAACGTCTAGTAATTTTAATAAACTAGTTTGGTGTATAATATTTGTGAAACGGACATCGTCTGTGCGGTAGACTCGGCAGACGAGCGTTCGCCGCTCGTCTTAAATGAGCGTCGTGTGTCTTTGCCCATAGTCGCAGAAGATACAGATGTTGCCGTATTACTGACCGCAATCTGCCCAGCTGACAGAGAAATATTTTTACGGAAACCTGCAAGGCCCAATAAACCTGAAGAAGTATACTCTTCGTGGAGCTTGTCGCATATGCCAGTAGTCGAGGATAATATTTTGTTGCTCCATGCAATAACAAGGTGCGATACCGTTTCAGCAACGTATTACCAGGGAAAGACAACATTTTTCAAGACCTTCCAGAACTTCCCAGACCTTCGAGATCATGCTGCGTAGTTCAAGGAAGCTGGTTTGTCCAGCGAAATAATTTTTGAGAACGGGGCACAGCTAATCCTGGCAATGTACAGTGCTCCAATGTCATTCAGGAAATCAAATATTCCTAAAAAGCCAAAATGGGACCAGTTACTCCAAACGTATAGGTGCGAAATGTACAGGAGACGAGAAGAGTAAATTTGGCCAAAATTCTCCCTACAGTAGACGCCATTCAACAACATCTAAAGAGGGTCTATTTTCAAGTACAACAATGGCTGCACGGAGACCAGCTGACCATGGACCCAACAAAATGGGGGTGGAGAAAGGAAGGCGACACACTAGTGCCTGTACAGATGGAAGAAAAACCTGCGCCCAAGAATATTATGGAACTAATATTATGTGGATGCAAAGGAGATTGCAAACTGAACAACTGTAGTTGTAGGAAGCACGGCCTATCTTGCAATCTTGCCTGTAAAATTTGTGAAGGTTCAACTTGCCTTAACATTGAAAGATATTCAGATGAAAACGTTAATGTGCCAGAGACAGAGGCCTCAGATGAGCGAGATGTTCCACGTATGAAAACATCAGTCGATGACGAAGAAAATGACCAGACACATTTGAGTTATTAATTAATTAAGGAATGACAAACTTACAGGTTCATCGTATTCGATTTGAGACCAATAAAAATTGTTTTACCGTAAATTGCATAAATATTGCGTTTCTATTCATTCTCTTTCTTTCCTCCTCACGTAATCTAGAATCAACAATTGCACACAGCTATTGCAGTATTGACGCCTCGGAGATGACGTCCAGGTCTAGGTTCAGACGCACCAGGTGTCCATGCGGTATTCGCCGATGCCATGTTTGAATTCAGCGACCCAAAACCCCCCTTTAACGATTTTCGGTTCGTCTTTTTCAATTGGGTCTGGAAGAACCTTGGTGAAGACGTTCTGGGCCAAGTTAGGGCGCACCAGGTGTTCGGGGGATCGTTTTCCACGTAAAATTCGGATTCAGCGCCCCAAAAAACCCCCCGGAACGATTTTCGGTTCGCTTTTTTCAATTGTGTCTGGAAACCCCTCGGGGATGACGTTCAGGGCCAAGTTCCGGTGCACCAGGTCTTCAGGGGGTCGTTTTTGACGTGAAATTTAGATTCAACGCCCCAAAAAACTCCGCTCAATCATTTTCGGGTTGTTGTTGTCGATATTGTGAGGAAAATTCTCGGAAATGACGTCCAGGTCGAGGTTTGGGCGCACCAGGTGTCCGGGGGACTATAATATTGATTATTGATATTTAATTGTGAAATAGTAAAATGTATCTGTGCCGTCTACTATAAATTCAAATTGCCAGACTTCACTTCCATATATTTAGCGGAATTAGTCACCATTCTAAAAGTTTAAGATTATATTAGAGAACAAAACTCTAAACAATGGCTTGTCATATCAGACTCTTTAAGTGCAATATATTCTTTCTCCCAGCTTACCCAACCCGCCCCACACATCTGCAAATCAAATAAAAAAAACATTAATCCTAATTTTCTCTGGGCGTCCTCCCATGACGGAATTGAAGGTGAAAATAACCTGTTTTGATGTACAGTCCATAGTGATAAACAAAACAGCCCACACTGATTTGAAATTCGCAATACGGAAAACAATAGGATTCAAATGGCAGTCACAATGGGGAACTTTAGAAATAAAGTTGGCCGAAATTAAACCCAGAAGAAAAATACAAACCACTCTTTCCAGATTAAGAATTGGACACTGCCGTCTAACACATAGTTATTTACTGACACGAAATCTAGTGCCAGAGTGATACGCATACTGTAAATCTTAATATAAAACAATAATATTTTAATAATACTATACGCGCTAGAAAGGCTTAAAAATAATACCAGTGATAAACTGAAAGCAGTAAACATTGTGGGTTAAGGACATTGATATTATACATAAAATATTAATTATTTATGTATCAAGGGCGTAAAATAGGCGTTTATGCATCACAAAGTGTAGGTAAGAGCCCGCCGCTATGCGGGGGCTATTAACACGAAAGGTTCATAAGCGCTGTTTACCTTCGAAATACATACAACATTTTATGCACGACCATTTTAATAATCGTTTATTAATAAATAACTAGTACTTTTTCTTTTTCGCCTTTTGTGAGTAGGTTACTATAAAAAATTTACTTTACCGCCCGGCGAGCGGTAATGTAGTTCCCGGGCGGTAAAGTAGTCCGTGGGTAATAAAGGGGAACTTAACGCCTGCTAAACGTATTTATAATCTGGACTTTATCGCCCGGTCGTGCATAAAAGTTATTAATTAACATCTAAGAATAAGAATGAATAATATTTGATATGATATTTTTTTATAATTATTTATTTTTTTATTTTGAGTTTTAAGCTATTGCACAGTTTTTATCGCGGGCTTTGAGCACCCCCCACTCTGACCAACACAGCGATGCGGCGTTAAACAATATTTATTCAATAAAAGAAAATCGAAAAATTGAAAAATCGAAAAATTGACAAATTGAAAAATCGAAAAATCGAAAAATCGAAAAATCGAAAAATCGAAAAATCGAAAAATCAAAAAATCGAAAAATCGAAAAATCGAAAAATCGAAAAATCGAAAAATCGGAAAAATGAAAATCGAAAACTTAAAAAAATCGAAAAAATCGAAAAATCAAAAAATCGAAAAATTGAAAAAAATCGAAAAATTGAAAAAATCGAAAAATCGAAAAATCGGAAAAACGAAAATCGAAAACTTAAAAAAATCGAAAAAATCGAAAAATCAAAAAATCGAAAAATCGAAAAATCGAAAAATTGAAAAAATCGAAAAATCGAAAAATCGAAAAATCGAAAAATCGAAAAATCGGAAAAACGAAAATCGAAAACTTAAAAAAATCGAAAAAATCGAAAAATCAAAAAATCGAAAAATCGTAAAATTGAAAAAATCGAAAAATCGAAAAATCGAAAAATCGAAAAATCGAAAAATCGAAAAATCGAAAAATCGAAAAATCGAAAAATCGAAAAATCGAAAAATCGAAAAATCGAAAAATCGAAAAATCGAAAAATCGAAAAATCGAAAAATCGAAAAATCGAAAAATCGAAAAATCGAAAAATCGAAAAATCGAAAAATCGAAAAATCGAAAAATCGAAAAATCGAAAATACGAAAATACGAAAATACGAAAATACGAAAATACGAAAATACGAAAATACGAAAATACGAAAATACGAAAATACGAAAATACGAAAATACGAAAATACGAAAATACGAAAATACGAAAATACGAAAATACGAAAATACGAAAATACGAAAATACGAAAATACGAAAATACGAAAATACGAAAATACGAAAATACGAAAATACGAAAATACGAAAATACGAAAATACGAAAATACGAAAATACGAAAATACGAAAATACGAAAATACGAAAATACGAAAATACGAAAATACGAAAATACGAAAATACGAAAATACGAAAATACGAAAATACGAAAATACGAAAATACGAAAATACGAAAATACGAAAATACGAAAATACGAAAATACGAAAATACGAAAATACGAAAATACGAAAATACGAAAATACGAAAATACGAAAATACGAAAATACGAAAATACGAAAATACGAAAATACGAAAATACGAAAATACGAAAATACGAAAATACGAAAATAGGAAAATAGGAAAATAAGAAAATACGAAAAGTCGAAAAATCTAAAAATAGAAAAAGAAATTCCGTAACGAAAATAAACCTAACACCCCCCCACTCCAAACGTCACAGCGGTGCGGCGTTGAAAGCCGTGCATCGTCTAACATCGTTTCAGTTCGGCAGACATAGGCAGGGTGTTTGTGTGCGTGCGACTAGACGTATGCGTGTAGACTAGCTGCTAACTGCTCATAACTGATTATATCTCTTTTAGACACAATTTCGGAAAAATTGAATTTGAAAATGAATAATGATCCACAAGAATCCACAACAAAATATGGGATCACCATTGACGCGGTATTTTCCAGATATTTAGAGGATATCAAGTCTCAAACTTATGTTTCTTATTTCAGTTACCATAAACATATAGTTTCAATGAATAAAATTCCTGAATAACCTACATGTATTTAAGATAATAAAAATGTTTTAAACAATATTAACTTTTCATTTATTCAATAAAAGAAAAAAAAATGTTTTCTTATCGGTCATCACGCTCAAAAAATGTAACTTGAATTAATATCAAAGAAAAAACTTGAATTAATATCAAAGAAAAAAATACTGCATTAATTTTTTTTCGATTTTTCGATTTTTCAATTTTTCGATTTTCTTTTATTGAATAAATGAGAAGTTAATATTGTTTAACGCCGCATCGCTGTGCCGGTCAGAGTGGGGGGTGCTTAAAGCCCGCGATAAAAACTATGCAATAGCTTTACCGCGGCAGTCCTCGAGTGCCACACGTATTTTTTTATTGTATTTTATATTTTATTCATTTTAAATTTATTGGTTGGGCGCCTTTATTCAATATTTTATTTTATTGTGATTGATAGTTTGGTAAATTTCTTTTATTATTTTACAGTATGTCCCCCTAAGTTTGTTTCATAAGGAAAACTTTTTTATTATTAATTTTATAAAAAAAGTTATTCTTCATAAAAAGTTCTGTATTATCTAAAACCTAGAATACAGTCATCAAATATTAATTTTTTTCAGTCGTATACGAGGTTTGTCAAGAAATATGAGTTTTACTCAAAAGATATTTGATGGTTGTATTTTAGGTTTGAGACCATGTTCGACTTTTTATAAAGAAATATGAAAATCTTTTTTATTATTAATATTGGGAAAGTTGTTAAGGGAAATCAAAAACCTCGTAAAACTTCCATTTGTTATTTACCTAGTTAACCTACCTCTTGTGTTAACACAAAGTAAAAAAGTAATTTGCTAAAATAGTATCCACGAGAAGTACCGTTGTTACTACCATTCCTCTAGGAGAAAACGAGGACTAGTGGGTTCATAATATTCGACAAATATTGCTGGAATGTTGTATTTTTAGGTAAATATAAAAGTAATATAATTTGTTTATATATCGCCAGGATCCGAAGAAGATAAAGGCTAAATAATGAATTGTACAACTTGATTTTTGAAGCCCGATTAGTTTTAATCGTTTACATAGGGTAAGTAAAATTTTATTTAAAACAATATAATATTGTGACGTTTTTCTTTCATATATTTTCTATTTCCTGATTCAGCATATGTTTCAAAATATGTATCCTATTGGCGACAATAATTTAAACAATGGAAAGTTCTTACTTTTATTATGATTGAGTCCAGTAGCGTCTCTGGAAGTATTATTCTTTATTACCAATTTTTGTCTTCCTATTAAAGTGGTTCCAGGTATTTTCTAACAATCCCAAGCTTCGCAGGTATATTGGGAGGCAAGCTATTTGACTATAAGGCTAAGCAGAAAGGTCAGAAGCCATGCAGGGAGCTAAGAAGCAAAGCAAGAAACTACTAAGCAATAAGATACTCCAAATAAATTCACAGGTTACCATAAGAATAAGTACTACCTGTACAGAAAAGCCTAAAACAATAGATTATAATTATTTACTTCCTTTATTAATGATCATGAATTTTGGTTGAGGAAACTTACC